GCTTCAGTTCTCGTGGGATCCATGGCTGACTGTAGCGCTGTGACGACATCTTATAAGTCGCTTCAGTTCTCGTGGGATCTATGGCTGACTGGAGCGCTGTGACGACATCTTATAAGTTGCTTCAGTTCTCGTGTGATCCATGGCTGACTGTAGCGCTGTGACGACATCTTATAAGTCGCTTCAGTTCTCGCGTGATCCATGGCTGACTGTAGCGCTTCGACTACATCTTGGACGGAACGTTTTTCTCCGGCATGTTGAAGTATCCAGTTTCTAATGTGTTCCATATATGATCAATAGGGTGTGACGTACCGTTGTCATTTGTAGAGGAATGACTAAATGTCGATGTGTCCCTCCGTGTCCCCTCTACGTCTGCTCTTTTCCACATGTATATCTCCCTACGGGTATCTGTATCCAGACCCGAACATCCCTATCTAAAAGATGTTGTAGCTGATATGAGTTAGATGTTGATACAACTTTAAGCACTGTACAATCAACAACTAAACTTTCGGTTGTGTCTACCTAGCCACCCGTTTCATATTGCCGTCAAACCTAATACATATGTAACCCGGGGAGAGAGCAAGAGAGAGGGAGAGAGATACACGTAAGAGTTCACGTATATATTTTACATGAAAGTACACATGTTTGTGACGTCACTGATTGTGTTGGTGTGTTGGCCTACCCGTTTTGTGTGTTGCATGTTCTATACTAATTGGATTGGTCAGAGTTGTTATTTAGTCAACTGACCAATCGCAGCACTTGCTTGACCATTGAACTTATATTTGATATCAACTGATGTCGGAAACACAACTTGAGACACCCCAAGGAGTAGGACGTATATGATGTACACTATACGTCCGACTTACATTGGAACACGTCCTTTGTCCACAGCATCCTGGTGAGTGCGTCGCGCTGAGTATTTTATTCTCATTCAGATAATGTATTCGCGGCGCGATGAACGAAATGAACTTTATTTTCGGTAAAACGTATGTGTGATGGTGTGAAAAATATATTTGTTGTTTTATGTGTAAAGTTATATATGTATATTAATCATTTACAGATTCTTTCGAACCCGAAATAAAACAATTGTGAACCAACTAAACACGAGATACGAGTGCTGTGTGAAACATACAAACAAGTTATTAGCAAAGAGTAGTTCATCTGGCTAAGTACCATTTAAAGCCATTCCATACTTATCTGTGATCTTTTGACATTGTGTGATATGCATATCACGTTCAATGATAAAAATAGTTTTACCATTTACTAGGATTTAGTTTGGTTTTGTTTTGTTTGTGTTTTACGTCCTATTAACAGCTATGGTCATTTAAGGACATGCCAGGTTTTGGTGGTTAGGAAAGCCGGAATTCCCGGAGAAAAACCACCGACCTACGGCCAGTACCTGGCGATTACCCCACGAAGGGGCTCGAACCCGCGACCCAGTGGTGGAAGGCTCGTGGTAGCAGAAGGTCAGACGCCTTAACTACTCGGCCGACCCAGAGGTGAAGGGCTAGTGGTAGCAGAATATCAGTCGCCTTAACCACTTGGCCACCGCGGCCCGCTATTACTAGGTACTATTTCTTTGTGTAATATGACGGAGTTACGGCCGAAATTGATCAAAAAGCCTGAAACAGTCAAAAATGACTAATTATAATGTATATAGGCTATTGGGTAATAATACTAGATGTTCCGGAGAGGTAAGCGTCTTGTTTGTCATCAACGATGCCCGCTTTGTAATTCTTGGTCATATTTAAGTATATTTGCCATGCCCTCGAAACGGTCTTAATCACATATCTATGGCAAAGAGCTATATTTGGAGAGTTTAACAGTCGGCATCACGTTGATAACCTTTTGACATGGTTCTTACACGACAGGAAACCACTTCTTAGACCTTAGATAACCTTAACTGTCACGTATACAAGAATCGAGATAGACTCTCGTTGATCTTTTTCTGCTAACACCGTACCACGAAGGATGTTTCAACTGGTGTTAGGCCTCGTTTTGGTTCTCGGTATTAATGAGTGTTCCGGGAAACCTCCTTACGGTGATGCTATTCCTAACGGCAAAGCTGTCCCTAACCCGTGTGCACCAGCTGGCACTACGTGGCTAGGCGTTGGTCACACCACCCCGTCAGGAGGCGGAACGAGAAACTTGTTCGGATCGGTATTTATCAATTTATTATATTTTTGTATAACAATTTCATCTGTTACTAGAATAAATATATAAAGAATAAATATATATGGGGGCAAAGAAGTAATTCCAACAGTGTGGACAAGTTTAGGTTGTCAAATTTTCGGAGCGGTCCGCTCCTTTTTCAAGACACAGTGAAACAGAACAGTTACATGTACATATACATCATATTACAAGAAGATAGAATTGATATACTATAATTGAAAATATATTATATATGTATATATGTAAGAATAACAGCTACTGTTGAAGACTTATAATTTACCAATCAATTTCCTAGCATGGGTTAATGTATAAAACGGTTCGGATTGTTATTGTCGCTATGAAATACTATGTGTTTGTCTCCTTATGGCTAACCCTCGAAAAAGTTTCTTGTTTTCGTGTGGTAGTGTTTCTAAAATGGAGTTTGTTTTTCGTGTATTTATCCCTCCACGGAGTAAAGGAAGATTAAAGGCTGTACAGCGTTAATATTGGAGAAATATCAGTATTTGTATACATGTAAGTGTTATGATCACCAAATACTGCAAACCAGAAGAAAATGTATGTCGAGATATTATTTTGAAAGATCTAGTACTTTCAAGTTCAATACATTATTTAATTACATTTTGTATGTCAATAATGAAGAATTCTTTTCTCTTGTAAAATCCCTTTAGCACATAATTGAGCGAATTAACACCATGATTTATATGTAAATTGTACTATATATATGTAGGTGTAAATTCTCTCACTGTAACCAGTCTGCGAGAATACAAACTTGTCCTCGTCATTGTCCCTGAGATGAGCCTGAGCGTCCGAGGCTCGTGACGCCGGGGGAGGGTATAGGAGGGGGAACTCTCGTATTGTGGTAACTCCTTTAAGTCTGATTATAAACAAGTAAAATCCGACTTTATATATGAAAAATATTGAATTTTGAACTTCATAAATAAGAAGTTTTTGATTTACTTAAAACTTCCGTGATTTTTAATGTGTATAGACATAATTAGCAACACTATTTTATCAGACTAAAATTTTCAAAAAGATTAGTTTTATAACTTTCCTTTTTATGATTATTGATAGGGACAGTCCATATCTTTCATAAAAAAAAAGAAATCAATCAAAATATCTGATTAAAAAATCTTGAAAATGTTTGTGTTTGCTTGAGCATACAAGCATACGTATGTATGCTACGCCACTGTCAGTCGTATAAATATCCGGAGTGATGGTTTTGGATTCCAGGATGTGTTTGTTAGTACAATGATACACTGTTATATAATGACCTTAGCTGTTAATAGGACGTTAAACAAAATTAAACCAAACCAAACCAAACACTGCGCTCATGAAGTCTGGTAATGCTATAAAATACTGCTTCTGTCCTATTAATCTTTATATTCTACAGAACTTCCTCGACGAAGATTTAGAATGGACCAACACACTGTGTACGATGGACTCCGATGCGGATGGTGTAAGTAATGGGGCGGAGCTGGGAGACCCCGACTGTACATGGACTAAAGGTGCAGCACCAACACGTAATGCTACAGGCCACCCAGGTTAGTGATAATGACATCAGTTAACAATATGTCAGCTTTAAATTCATGAATGAAAAAAAATATTTTACTCATTCTCAGACACTCGTGATAACCTCGTTAGTATGGACACTTGTCGATCGGGAACCGTCAGCACTTTCCGTAAACGAGAAAATACGTATTTGTTAATTCTATCTCGTTTACCGAAAGTGCCGATGGTTCCCGATTGATTCACACATTGTTCATCGAATGAACGTTTTGAATTTGATTTGTGGATTGTCTAACATTTACTGCGGAAATGTCCATAAATAGCAGTGTTCGTTAGTTGTAAAGTGAATTTTCACCAGAATTACGAGATGATATTTAGCCCTTTTGATTTTTCTTTTTAAGGGATCTGTGAACCAATAAGCCTGGTTCATTGTCAACTACAGAACAATAACTGGAATATACAGTGTGATATGTACCCCTAACTACCAGCTCATGTGATTTCTACCTGGGTCATCACTTGACACAGTCAAGGCCAAAACTTCGAAGGATTTTTTTTCCAAAAGCAACAATATTTTGTCTGAATTTCTATTTTTGAATGCAACGACAATGGTTTGTTTTTCACATTTTGATACTAAAGAAACGACACAATTCGAATTTATGATATCAAACGGAGTTGACGACGATACATTGAAGTGCTACAACGTTTAATCAAAGCAAACAATTCAAAAAAAAAATCATCGCATATTTGATATCAATGTTAAATCTTAGTTAACTGTTTTTTTGGTAAACTGTTGGGCGTAAATTCTGATTGCTTTGTTTATTTAATTACCTTTTCACTGGAAATTAAATTCCGCGAGGAAAAGATCAATTGAGAACGAGTACTGTTGTATATTACGCTTGTTTAGCAAAGTTTTTGTCTGAGTTGGAGAGGAGAGGAGATCGAGAAATGAAATACATATTATATGCTATTTGTCACCGGCTGTTTATTTAAGGAAATTTCAACAACAGATATGTTTTTCACTATTTGTTAATCTTGCGATTCAAATCCTAGCGCAAACGAGAAAACACTCTCACGGAAAGTGCTGACGATTCCCGAGTGAACCTCGCAAATACTGGAGTAAATCGTTCGGAAATCATTTTCGCGAAAAGCTCTGTGACTGATATTATACACGTACATTGAAATATCAATTAATGGTGTACACTAATTGAACACTTTAAATTAGTTCGATAATTGATTGGTACCAAAGAGGGCCATCAGAAACAGTTCTCTGTTATAATATGGATACTCAGGACTATGAAAAATAACATCTACATTCTGTTGCAATTAGTTTTGTCAGAGACGTACATGCTACATATCTATGTCTCTGGTGAGATGTTTTCCCAAAGGGCGACTGATCATATGAGCTGATGCCATGGTGCAGTGTCCAACCTCTGTACGACGTCGTTTTACTTTATAAACAACTTCATCTGAATAACAAAGATGCGTACTCGTGTTATTTGGTCTGTCCAAGATGGCGGGAAACGGCTATCACGTTTAGCAATGCCCTCCACCCACTCTCAATGTCGCATAGGCCAAAAGCATCAAAACATGTAAACGAGTTCTATATAAAAAGAGGCATAGTGTGGTGATATTTTGCCTGTAGTAGGTTGGGTCTGAGCGCTTCCAACTTTTTTTTAAATAAATGACATTCCCCGACTTTCGTTGTCACAGGGGCAACTTTCGTTGTCACAGGGGCAACTTTCGTTGTAACAGGGGCAACTTTCGTTGTCACAGGGGCAGCTTTCGTTGTCACAGGGGCAACTTTCATTGGCACGGGGGCAACTTTCATTGTCACAGGGGCAACTTTCGTTGTCACAGGGGCACCGTCGTAATATGACTTTTTCTGACATATTAGTAGTTCCTCCTGAAAGAAGTCCGAATTCCTTTGTAGAAATGTTACAGTGACGATGATGGACAGCCGATAAACCAAACTGTTTACGTTTACTCTGCATCCTTCCATTGCAATGCATTGAGAAGGCAAATGTTGTTGTGAGACTATAACAACATTTGCTATTATTACGCCATCAAGCTCTATTGTGATGTCAACAATTTCATTGTTGTTAAGACTTAATTTCCTGTTCAATAAACTGTGTGAAATAACCAAATAAAGCGTACCTACTCTATCAAAGTGTAATGAATATTTTAGCAAATATTATTAAGGTCCTATAACACACATTTCTACTGTCGGGCTTTGTTAAGTTTGTCATCAATAGCAATGTGTGTTATAGGACCATAACAACATTTGCTTAATCATACATTGCTGGAGTGAATCCACCATTGAGACTGCAGTGTTCAGTTGTAAAACCTTTTGAATGAAGCCTGACAGGTCGGTTTCTATCTGTGCACGTCTACTTTGAGTGTTGGTTGTTTCCTTTTGTAGTAGTTCACTCTGGCATAGTCCGAATTATTCTGACGTTTTATCGACTTTTTTCATATCGGTCTGTCGTCGATTAACGTCGTTAATCAACGACAAACCAAGATGAAAAAAGTCGATAAAACGTCAGAATAATTCGGACTTTCTGTGGCAGTAATCTAGTTTATTTATTAACCCATTCACCCCTAAAGGAACATTTGCGCCTTACCAAATTAAAACCAGGGCAAGTCCAGTTTAACTATGTAGATCTGTGTGAATGAGGTAAATCAGGAAACTAAAAACACGGAGCAATTCTAATCACAAAATCAGTGTTGAAAACGCGGGTTGACATTGTTTGATTTTGATACCATCAATATACAGTATGTTATATTGTGAGGGGACCAATTTTCTATTTTAGTAACAGTGACCATGACCGTTTACTTTTAAACAATTCCAAGCGAACATCTTCGGTAAGGAAGCAGTAAAAGAAATGCAAGTTTGATAAACACACAAAAAACTCCCAGTGACCTTGACCTTTGACCTTTGAATTATATATACACAAAGATCGATCAATCCAACACTTCCAGTAAGAAAGCAATGAACGAAATGTACGTCTGCTCGGCCCCTCAGTTACAATGTGTTGTGTTGAAACCAATCTTCTGTCTTGATATTTGTTATGGTAGACAAGTGGATGTGGTTCCCGTTATTGGCCGGTATGCGTATAAACAGTCCGGAATGTTTGCATGTATTTGATCTCCAATCTAGAGGTGAAGGACGCGGTGACCTAGTTACAGTGCACAATACACCTGTGGATGATGCAGATACACGCCTGGACAAGATTTTGCTGAAATCTTCCACCTGGTTCAATTATAGCCTATGACCTTGAGGTGAAGGCCACGTGACCAAATGACAGTACTCGGCACACCTGAGGTGATACAGTTACACCAAGATTCGTCAAGATCTTTTATATGGTTTAAAAGCTAAGGCTTCGATTACATCAGAACAAGAGAATACCCTGTCCAATAGTAACACAATAGTTCTCCCATTACCTGAACGGAAGACAGAACTAAAGTGATAGTGACATTGATTTTAACCATTGGGACCTGCAAAAATGATCATTTTGATGAGGAGGAACTTTGATCATGTTTAAGTAGATTTGGCCTACAGGAGCTTCTGTTAATATGAGAAACAAGAGATCCCAGAGGGATCTTGACGCCCACCATTGTACCATCTTCATTAGTTCTTTGTCAGTTTGACTCTTCTCTAATCTGTTTGATCGAGTCATGTTAACAGTAAATGCACCTTGAGGTAACTTTTGATCTAAACTTAATACTGATGTATATGAAAGCGAACCTTCAAAGTGAGTTTGTCATTTCACATATTTACTAGTTCAGCACTGAAGAATTGTTCATTGCAATATGAGAAAGATCTGTTTAGTTCTTCCTTTAGCCATTTTGTTTTTATGATCAGTCTCAATATATAACATGCTCAACGAAGGATCAAGGGGAACCTACATATCAACTTTGAGAAAGATCCCTCAAGTTATTCTTGAGAAATAGTACTTACAAACCTTCAATGTCAAAAATCGAAGATGGCTGTCGGTAAGCCATTTTGTTTAACTGATCAGTTTCAAAAGTAAACATGAAAAAATAAAGGATAATGGGAAATGGCACTAACAAACCTTAACTGTCAAAATCAAACATTTGTTTATTCAATCAGACTCATCAGAAAATATGCATAACTTCATACCAAAGGGAATTACCTACATACCAAGGGAAATAACTGACCAACATACCAAGGGGAATTACCTACATACCAAGAGAAATAACTGACCAACATACCAAGGGGAATTACCTACATACCAAGGAAAATAACTGACCAACATACCAAGGGGAATTACCTATATACCAAGAGAAATAACTGACCAACATACCAAGGGGAATTACCTACATACCAAGGGAAATAACTGACCAACATACCAAGGGGAATTACCTACA